TTAAAGATCAGAGCCGGAAAAGCTAAGCCCAGAAGAAAACAATGTAGAAGAGTCCTGGGTGGAAGGGCTGGGTTTCTGAAACCGTAAACAGGCCCTGGCAAAGTATTAGCTCAACCAGACATCATAACAGACACCACAGAAACTGCAGGAGCACAAGAGCCCATCCTGGCTTTGTGCATGGGTGCAGGCCAGTGGCACTTAGGCCTGTCTACTTCGGTGACTGGGAAAGAGAAGAGGGCTTCTAAAGAGGTAAGTGGCAAGAAAATGCCCAAGAAGAGGCCACAGTTACTCTTCCTGTGGAGCAGCCTGACGGTGTGCCCTGATGATTGACACTGCCATGGACTGAGGGAAGAGGCCCTTGAGTTTCCCACAGCCTAGCTTTGCTCCCATCTCAGCACCTAGGAACCATACTTCACTTTCATGAGCAAGTTCTCTGTTGACTCCCAGGACTCTGGTGTCAGCTGCTATCCAGAAGACATGCTCCATGTTCTGAGAACAGGCTTCTGCGGGAGCTCCAATGACCCAGCATCAACTCTGCTTCCCACAACACACTGGCCACAGGGTTCCTGGTGTGTATGGACCCACCTCCTAGGCCCAGCCTGGGCTGGGACGCCTCTACTTTCCACCACTGCTGCAGCCTGCCTCCCCATTCTGGCTCTGCAGGTAAACCACTGGGCATCCCTGTTGCCACACCCCACTTCCACCCCCTTTCTGACCTACTGACCCCACCCTTGCTCTCTTCCAAGGCAGCCACAGACCCATGTTTCATCCCCTTAACCCAAATGATCTTGGGTTTTTCCATTGCTGTGCCAGAGACCCACATGGTGCAGCTGGCCCAGACTGTGAACTGTTTCCCCACTGTCTGGACTCCCTGTGGGTCTCCTATCGACTCACACTACTCTACCATCCATAACTCTACCCTAGATGGGGGTAGAGGACCAAAGGCAACGAGGGGCCCTGCCTACACGGCAGTCACTGCTGCTGCTTGTGAGCCACGTGTGGCCCATCCCAAGGCCTCCCAAGCACCCCAGTAGTTCATGAGAAGCCAGCAGAAGCAACCCTTCCACTCTGCATATCTGAATCCTTCTGGTGTCAACTGCATGGCCACTTCAGTACTCTTCCCTTCAGAAACACCCGAGAGAGAGAAGCCTTGCTCTGCAACTGCGCCACCAGCTCTCCCCGGGTGCTGAAGGAGGCGCCGCTCTCAGAAGGACCAGAGAACTGGGGAGACCTAATGTGGTGTCCATATACCTGTGGGCAAAATGCTCATACAGATACAATTTAAAAATCTAAAAGAATGATCTATAAATGTAATGCAATTTCTAAAAAAAAAAAAAATTATTGCTGACTCCTTCTGAAATAGAAAAAATTCTAAAATTTATACAGGTTGGCACACACCGAGGGTAAAAAAGTCCCCCCTCCACAAAAAACAACAACAACAAGCAAAAACAGGATATCCAAAACCAATACTGAGCCGAAGCAACAACGAAAAGGTCTGTCATTCAACTGTCATGGTAACCGAGGGAGCAGACTGGGAAGCGGCTCAGCTGATAGAATGGTTGCCGAGCATGCAGGAAGCCCTGGGTTCAATCCTACCAGAGAATAACACCTCTCCAGGAATGTTGGCCAGGAAGTCCCCAGAAGCCCCAAACCATACAGGTCATGCTGTCGCTATGGGTTCCCGCCAGGACTGGAGGGTGAGACCCTGTTACTGAAGACATCACACATCTTGGTTTCATGATACAGAGAAACCACGCTCCAGTTTAGCTAGAAACTTCCTTTCATAGTGTTATAAGTTGCTCTGCAGGCAGTTGCGGGACTGTTGTGTCTTGAATGAAATGTCCCTCTGCAGTTCAGGCATTTGAATACTTGGGATTCCAGTTGATGGCCGGACTTGCTGGAGGAAATATGCCATTGTAGGCAAGCTTTGATGTTTTCTTTTATTATTGTTATTGTTGTTGTTGTTTGTTTGTTTGTTGCTTGAGACAGGGTTTCTATGTGTGACAATCCTGGCTGTCCTGGAACTCGCTCTGTATACCAGGCTGGCCTTGAACTCACAGACATCTATCTGCCTCTGACACCGGAGTGCTCAGATCAAAGATGTGTGCCCCCACCACCTGGCTTGGCTTTGATGTTTTAAAAGCCTCCTGCCATATCTAGCTTGCTCTCTCTTTCCTGCTTGTGGTTTGAGATGTGAGTTTTCAGCTTTTTATGCTGCCATGCTGGGTGCTTGCTGCAACATTTCCCCACTGTCATGGTGATGGGCTTGGATCCCGCTGGTACTATAAACCCCACATAAACCCTTCCTTCTATAAGATCATGGTGTTTTATCATAGTAACCAAAACAAGGAGAAAAGTCAGCAGTGGTCTTCCCCAGCTTCAGACCTGGCATGCTACAGTATCAACTCAACAAGCTACAGTATCAACTCAACAAGCTCACTGTTTGGCGGGTAACCAACTGACTTCAGATTAGATCTGATGCATGCTCCGGAGGAGTAAGATCATGCCAGTTCAGTGGACCTAGTCAAAAGTCGATGGGTGGGGAGGTCACAGGACCTAAGGAAACCTACTACCTTCGTTGAATAGACAGCTCGTAAAGTGCCTGACAAACCTATGCTTGCATTCATAGATAAGTGCTGTCCTCAGCCTTGATCAAAGCAGCTTCTCTTTGCAGCAAATGATGGTTAATGAGAGACGCACTGTCATGGTGCTGAGGACTAAATGGACCTGGTATCACCCCTCCGAGGATCCTGACATAGCACAGAAAAAGGGGCGGAAAGAACGTAAGAGCCCGAATGGTAGAGAGGAGCGCCGCGACACGGTTCGAGCCCTCATGAACTCACACTAGCTGGAGTTACCCACAGAGAGTCTGAACAAATCTGAGCGAGTTGACATTCAATTATAGATGGGGGAGGGGCTTGGGTGGCCCACCCAGTCCAGCGGAGCTCATGGCTGTGGGAAGAGAGGAAGTCACTGTCTTCAGTGTTGGAGCCACTGATGAGCTACCTACGCTTCGTGGACAGCATTTCATCCGTGCCCACATGACAGGCCCTGGTTAAACCTAGTGGGTCTGGGTCACAAAACAAGAAGGACATGAAAGTAGGATGAGGACCTGTTGGCAGAGGGTGTGGGTGGGGAGTTGTGGGGTGGGGAGAGGGTAAAAGAGGGTGAGTGTCACCAGAATATTATATTCATCCATGAAACTGTCAAAGAATTAGCTGAAGAGCTAACAAAGAAAACTGAGTGTGTCAGTCGGGCGGTAGTGGCACACGCCTTTAATCCCAGCACTCGGGAGGCAGAGGCAGGCGGATCTCTGTGAGTTCGAGGCCAGCCTGGTCTCCAAAGCGAGTTCCAGGAAAGGCGCAAAGCTACACAGAGAAACCCTGTCTCGAAAAACCAAAAAAAAAAAAGAAAAGAAAAAAGAAAACGGAGTGTGGTGATGTGTGTCTAATCTCAGCTCTCAGGTTGTGAAGAAAAGAGAATCAGGAATTCAAGGTCATCCTCAGATATATAGCAACTTCTAGGCCAGCCTAAGCTATAAGAGACCTTGTTTCAAAAAAAAATGCAAGGAACCAGCATAAAAATAGGTACATAGACAAACAGACAGAGAACCACACACAAAGTTAACGCACACGGTTCAACACCCACAAGATTCCTTCTTTGGGGCTTTGTTCTGGTTAGCACATGACAAGGGGCAGCAGGCTGAGCAGTCATAAAAATACTGCTTTCAGGCCATCAGCATGACATCTGGCAGAGGCGCCAAGACCATCTAGCAGAAAAGACAGTCCCATCCATAAACACTGTTGGCAAAATTGGGTAAACATATGCGAAAGAATAAAGCTGTTTTATACCCTCTAAACAGATACAGAAATCAACTCAGAATGACTCAAAAGCCTGAATAGTGCCCAAGGTGGGGCTCGGTTGGTACAGTGCTCGCCTAGCGTGCATGAAGCCCGGGATTGATCCCTGGCACCAGATAAACTGGTTGTGGTGGTGGCACACCCATGACCCTAACACTTGGAAGGCAGAGGTACAACAACTTCAAAGTTCATAGTGAGTTTCAGGCCAGTCTGGGACACAGGAGTTCCCGTGAAGAAAGAAAAAGAGACGGGGAAAAGGAGGGACAAGCTGAAATGTAATACCTGAGCTACGGAGCCACAGGATGACAAGAGAGAAGCACTCCAAGGCACTGGTGTAAACCAGCAATTCTCGACCTGTGGATCATGACCTCTTTGGAGGTCGAATGATCCTTTCACAGGGGTTACATATCAGATATCCTGAATATCAGATATATTTACCTTCAATTCCTAACAGTAGTGAAATAACAGTTATGAAGTAGCAACAAAAATAATCTTATGATTGGGGGTCACCACAACATGAGGAACTGTATTAAAAAAGTTGCAGCATTGGGAAGGTTGAGAACCACTGCTCTAGACAATGATTTCTTTTCTAAGAATTCTTCCCAAGGTCTCAGGCAAGTAAAAATAGAATAAGCATCTATCAAACTACAGAGGCAAGACACGGCCTGTGGAGCCTTGAAAAGAGCCTTGTAAACCATTCATCCGCTAAGGGCTTACATTTTGAGAACATAGGATGATCACATAGAGTTGAACACTAAAACCAAATTAATGCAAATTTTAAAACGGGCTAAGGAACTCCATAGACACTTCTCCAGAGAAGACACAGGTGTGTGTGCCATTCTGAGGCCATGCCTACACAGCACATACAAAAACCGAGATTTGATTTCCAGTATGGTGGAGTGACGAAAGGGGCTGGGACACGTGGAAATACGCCAGAGGCTGGAGTGTCTGAAGCCCCACCACTGGGGGCACAAGCAGGGAGCCGGGGGGGGGGGGGGGGTTCTTTCTTTTCTTTTTCTTTTTTCTTTTTGCGACAGGGTTTCTCTGTGTAGCTCTGGCTGTCCTGGAACTCACTCTGTAGACCAGGCTGGCCTCGAACTCACAGGAATCTACCTGCCTGTGCCTCCCGAGTGCTGGGATTAAAGGCGTGCGACACCACCCCTGGGGAAAGCAGGGGGATTTCTAATTGGAAGACACCCTGGCATACATAGTTATTTCCGGGCTAATCTGTGATACATCCTGAGATGTCTCAAAAGACAAAACACTCTATCCAACAAAAAACTCAAATAGCCAACAAATGCATGAAACAGCGCCCAATCACAGTGGTTATTGAGACATCAGAAATCCAATCAGGGATCAAAACCAAATGCTGATGTGATGTGAGGGGAATTCGCACACGTTGTTGAAGTGGATTTGACCAGCACCGCCATTACAGAAAACACTATGAAGAGTTCTCACGAAACACGATATGATCTAGCAGCTCCACAATTGGTTATGTTTCTAAAGAAGATGAATAATTATACCAGAGACAGACCTGCTCTTCCATGGCTACTGCAGCTGTGTTCATGATAGCTCAGGTATGCAGCCAACCTACTCCTTTGCTACGAAGTGGAGGGAACTGGTGGTCACGCCAAGTGTAATAAATCAGGCAGCTAGAGGAACACCATGTGTGCTAATCCTCTGTGGAAAGGAAAAAGGTTGATCTTGCTAAAGAGCAGAGTAGGTGGTGGTCCCCAGAGACTGGGTGTGGTACAGGGAGTGGAAAACAGCTAAGATTCACCAACAGAGAACGGCTTCTAGGGTTAGCACAGTGGGTGAACCCTCTGTTAAAACAATGTACCACTCTTCGAAGTCAATCAAAAAGCATGAGATCCCCAACATACAATGGCAATTAACACTTGAAGAGCTGGAAATGCTTCCCACATTAATTATTGTATATTGTTTACAAATATATCTTGTGAAAACTTAATTTGTGTGTCTGTGTGCACACCTGCGTGAGTTCATGTGACCCTTGTGCATAGAGGCTAGGAGAAAGTCTCAGACGTGTGATCCCACCAAATGTCAGGACCAGGAGAAGACTAAGAGGTCTCAGGCTAGCCTGAGCTAAACAGTAAAACACTGCCCCATAAACAAAGAAACACACACAATCCATACATAACCCCAAGGGATCAATGTGTCAGGGTGACTATCAAGAGGGTGAGGCCTTCAAGACGCCAGCCACTGTGAACATGAACACACGTATGGGGAGGGTACCATGCCATCATCTTTGAATCATCATCAGCCTCTGAAAAGCCAAATTTGGAGCTAGGAAGAGTGACTATTGTCTTCCCCATGGACTGCAAGCCTAATCCCACTGGTGCTATAACACACAGCTAAGGGAGTTGGCTCCCTGGCCTGATCCAACAGCCTGGTCTCCCCTCTCAGAGCGGGTTAGGACACTCCTGTCTATGGATCGAGGGCTTTAGAGGTCGGAAAACAGATACCAGAGTGTGTGCACCTAAGGTATCTCCAGGATCCCTGATCTGGAACATCTGGGGTTAGCTGAGCAACTGACAACAGGAAGGATGGGAGAGCTGTGGGGGAGGGGTGTTCCGTATGGCTGAGAGAGCTGTGGGGATGTTATGTCCTCTCTCAAGGTAGTCTCACATTATAGAGTCCATAGTCTGTCACAGCACATCTCTCCATCTTGCCAAAGGAACTTAGTGATGGGACACTGGAACTGACTCTGAAAGAAACCACCAAGAATGGAAGGTATCTGAGAGGGCACAGAGGTCAGAGGCACCAGGAAGACACCCAGCCAGCAAGCTAAGGTCACAGACTGGGAAGTAACCACCACTTAACGCCCCAGCATAGATGGGATAATACTGGGTCTCAATGTCAGGGAGAGCAGCTGCTGCGGCTGCTGCTTAACACAGTTGATGCCCCATAGCATCAACTGATTCAAGAAGGCCATGGCAGACATGGCCTCAGTGACACACTTAGCCTCCTCGTCTTCCAAGTAGACCCTATGTGGCTTTGTATAAGGTTGGGGGAGCACTTCAGTCTTGGGCTCCCCAGATGCAGGGACTGAGGCTGGGGCAAATGCCAGAACATTTGTGTGTCAGGCTGGTGGCCATGTTGCTCTTGGTAGTAATTTTCCTCCCAAGTACATTCTGTGACACAGGATCTGTATATTACTCTTCCTATGAGACGGTCATCCCCAAGAGATTGCCAGTCCAGGGGAGTGAAGTTCCCGGAGGGAGGGCGTCCTACATGCTGCTGATGCAGGGCCAGCAGCAGCTGCTTCACCTGAAGGTAAAGGGAGACCACTCCGTGAATATCTTCCCAGTCTACAGTTACCACAATGGCCTCCTGGGGCAAGAGATGCCGCTCCTCTCACAGGACTGCCACTATGAAGGCTACATGGAAGGGGTGCCGGGCTCCTTTGTTTCCGTCAACATCTGTTCAGGCCTCAGGGGCGTCCTGATTAAGGAGGAAACCTCCTACAGCATCGAGCCCGTGCTCTCTTCCAAAGGGTTCGAACACATCCTGTACACCGTGGCACGTCAGCCTCAGGTCTCCTGCAGTGTCACTCCCCAAGACAGCCCAGGGGACACCAGGCAGCAGCGCGGGAGCAGGAAGAAGCCCGATGACCTGCAGGAGCTGTCTGACTTGTGGTCACACACCAAGTATGTGGAGATGTTTGCTGTGGTCAACCACCAGCGGTTCCAGATGTGGGGCAGCAACGTCAACAAGACGGTCCAGGCAGTAGTGGACATCATTGCTCTGGCCAACAGCTTCACTAGGGGACTAAACACAGAGGTGGTGCTAGTGGGCATGGAAATCTGGACGGAGGGGGACCTGATAGAGGTCCCGGTGGACCTGCAGGCTACACTGAGGAATTTCAACCGCTGGAGACAGGAGAAGCTCGTGGACCGGGCCAGGCACGATGTCGCACACTTGATCGTCGGGCATCACCCAGGACAGAATGAGGGCCAGGCGTTTCTCGACGGTGCCTGTTCAGACGTGTTTGCAGCAGCTGTGGAAGCCTTCCATCATGAAGATGTCCTGCTGTTTGCAGCGCTCATGGCCCATGAGCTGGGACACAACCTGGGTATCCATCACGACCACCCGGCCTGCGGCTGTGACCCTAAGCACTTCTGTCTCATGCACGAGAATATCACCAAGGACAGTGGCTTCAGCAACTGCAGCTCTGACGACTTCTACCGTTTCCTCCACGACCACAGAGGGGCCTGCCTGCTTGACAAGCCTTGGCGCCAAAGCCGCAAGCAGAGAGCTGCCCGTTGTGGAAACGGTGTGGTGGAGGAGCCCGAGGAGTGTGACTGTGGCAGGGCCTGTGACAGGAACCAGTGTTGTAATGAAAAGTGTAAATTTAAGGAGGGTGCACAGTGTAATGATGAGCCTTGCTGTTCTCGATGTAAATTTAAAAAGATGGGACAGATTTGTCGTCCTGCTGATGGAGCATGTGACCTGGACGAGTTCTGTAATGGGACCTCTGCAGTATGTCCTGAGGACAGGAGAGTACAAGATGGCTCTATATGCCATGAATTATACTTTTGTCTTAAGGGTCAATGCCTGGACCCTAGCTCTCAATGCTCACGTATTTTTGGGTATGGTGCACAGTCTGCCTCAGATGCATGCTACAGCTCTCTGAACAGCAAAGGGGACCGGTTTGGAAACTGTGGCCTTTCTTCTGAGTCTCCAAGAACTTATGTCAAATGTTCAGATCAAAATACGATGTGTGGGAAACTTATATGTACAGAATTAGGCTTCTTACCACCAATTAAACACAAACACATACTGATCCAGGTCCCTCATACAGTGGACTGGTGCTGGAGCATGGATGCTTCTGATGATGAAACAGAAGGCGCTGATGAAGGATATGTGAAGAACGCAACTAACTGTGGCACCCAGAAAGTTTGTAACAATTTCCTTTGTCAAGACTCGCTCTTCACGTTCTTCCCCGACACTTCCTGCACTGCAGATCTATCTTGTAATGGACATGGAGTTTGCAATGATTTAGGGAACTGCCATTGTTCATTTGGATTTGCACCCCCCGACTGCAAAAATGAAGGAAATGGAGGCAGTGTGGACAGTGGTCCCCCCACTCAACCATCAAACGAAAATCCTACAGGAGATGTGGGTCTAAATGAGCAAAGTGAAAATGATTTGACACTTAACTTAAAGCTGATAGTTCTGGCTGCCATTTTGATACTCATAATCCTCTTTATAACCATATGCATCATGCTTGCCTATGATAAGTCAGAGCTGCCTTCTGAAGCAGAGCCTTCAGAGTTAGAGAAGTTTCCAGAAGGGACTGAAGAGGAAGAGGAGGAAGAGGAGGAGGAGGAGGAGGAAGAAAAAGAGGGAGAAGAGGAGGAGGAATAAGTGGGGAGGAACATAAAGCCAATAGCTGAGCCTTCTGCAGCCCTGAGAATGAGATGCTCAGTAATGCAAAGGCTGTGCGAACTGAGAGCTGGGAGGCTCTCACTAGGACTCCAGGGCCTAAAGACACACTGGAGGGAAATAGGAGCCTCTGTCCTTAGAGCTGGTTGAGGAGTGTTTACACAGTCAGTATTTCAGTACTTTAGTTTTCAATTTCATTTGAACTTGTCACATAGATCTTTGGATATTCATGTTCTTGTATCTTTGGGCTAATTCTTTTGGTCACCAGAAACTGTATTTTAGGACATGCTTTCTTCCACATAGATTGTCTGGTGCTCCTGAATTTATTACTATCCCCAGGATTTTTATTCCAAGTAACAACTATCTATTATGTAAGGGCAATTTCCATGACTTTCATTGTTCCAACTTGACCAAAAATATATATGGGAGGGATGAGTCTTTAAATAAAACTGCTAACATTAGACATGTCTTTAGGTCCCATGTAATGTATTTGTTGAGTCCGTTCTGTTTGGTAGCTGTTTGGGAAATGTTGTTCCTCATAAGGAAGAGGGTCTGACTTTGGATCTTGAGTTAAGAAGCCGGCTTTACAGACATCAGCCTCAGCTCCAGACAAAACGTACTTGCTGTACAGTCATAAGGCTTGGAGTTCAAAGCCTCACACTCACCAGGCAATAGACAAGACAGGTAACTTGTACATGCCCATAGCCCGAAGGGGCAAGAAACAGGAGGATCACTGGGGCTTGATGGCTTCTGGCCCAGAGAATGCAAGCTCTGGGTGCAGGGGAAGACCCTTCTTCAAAGGGATAGGCTGAGAATGATAGAGGAGGATGCTGACCCCCTCTTCTACCCTGTATGCACATGCACAGGCACCCCCCCCCTCTGTACATAAATGAGCACTACATAACACACACACACATATTAAAGAGGAAGAGGAAGCAGGAGCTAGCAATAAGCCGGTCCCAGCTGGGCAAGATGGGAGTGCTTGCCATATTGCCAGCTTTCAGAAGGCTGCAGCAAGGAGACTGCAAGTTTAAGGCCAGCCTGGGTTACCTAGGGAGGCTTAGTCTAAAAACAAAGCGAAGCTAAACTGAGTTATTTTGTGCTCTGTTTCTAGAAAGTATGACCTTTCTCATTCATCATCTTGCCCACGTGCTTGTGGCATTACGAGGAAGATGTCCAGTAATCCACATGTTGGTACCCCCATAGGACCACACTTTCCAACAGTTTGGTGATGTCTTGCTGCCCTCTCCTGGCCTTCTCTGGGCTGCCTCAGGCCAGCCAAACTCCAGCACATTCCTCAGTTTCCTAAGCCAATTCCAGACTCTAGATTTGTCTTCAGACTTGGAGGGAACAAAGGGAAGTTGCAGTGTGAAATAGATGCGCAGATACTGATGCTCTGAAGTCCACAGGTCATGCTTCTCCTTGGGGGACCAGGAGCAGATGTGTCTGTCTCTCCGTGGGCCGGATCTCACATCTGTTCTCATTCCATTGGTCAAACTGAACTCCCTTGTCTGGAGCTCAATTGAAGAAAAATAAAACAAGATAACCCCAAATTGATACAATTCTGTTCTCAAGAAAGACAAAGTGTTACTTTTGTTTGCTTTTGATATAGTGTCTCACATATGTGGCCCAGGGACTGGCTTCCAACTATGTAGCCCAGGCTGGCCTCAATCTCATGGTAATCTTTCTGCCTCAGTCTCTGGAGTCCTGAGATTACAGGTGTAAACTATCATGTGCAGATCAAAGTGTTACCTTGCCAGCAGTGGTGACACATGCCTTTAATCCCAGCACTTGGGAGGCAGAGGCAGGTGGATCTCTGTGAGTTCGAGGCCAGCCTGGGCTACAGAGTGAGTTCCAGGAAAGGTGCAAAGCTACACAGAGAAACCCTGTCTCAAAAAAAAAAAAAAAAACCAAAAAATAATGACAACAAAAAAATCCAAAAAAGTGTTACCTGTATTTGAAAAAGAAAATGGTTTATTGTTTCTCCAAATTCGTCTGAAATGGAATTTTGTTGGTATGGTTGAGTGGGGAACAACTCAGCTAAGTGGTTTTTTTTTCCCCAAGGGGAAAACAAGCTCTTCTATCAATAGAAGAAAAGAACAAGTTTTCACGATGCTTTGAGACCCAGCTTTCCAAATTCCCCATGTCTTATCAATCAGGCCTTCCCAGTGTGTGGGAAGAGGAGTCTTCTACTTCCCTATTCCATAAGCACACGCCCTGCAGCATCTATTATAGAAGTTATTATAGAAGACGTCACCACTTCTAGAGGGGAGACACTCCAACACTGGCCTTGACCCTACCTACGTGGTAGATTCTGGGTCCTTGAAGCTTATGGACATAATGGAATAATGAACTGTAATTATAGGTGTTTCAAAGTTACTCATTTGTTTAATCAGACCTACAGGCAAAACTTGTCTTTACCAATGAGAATCTTTTTTGTGATTTCATTCCTATGAAGGCAAATCACAAACACTTCACTTTCCTAGAATAGTGAAGACAGACAGAATTTACACACTTGACTCATACTCCAGCTGAACTGTGTTCAATGGAGATGAGGTCAGATCCATATTTGAGGTTGCTACTATGTGTACAGTCATAAAGAAAGGATTTTAATGTCACAAACGTTGGGATGACAGTCCAGGCAAAAGAATGGGGTTTACGAATGCTGGAAGGCATCCCCATCTGGAGGGACATGGCCTATGAAGTGTTCGGGTATCAATGATGAGCATACCGTATCACGCCTGCACTCAGAACGCACACTTTCACAACACTGGGTCTCACCCTCTGGGTTCCTCAGGTTCTGGATGCTCCTCCTTTTAACAAAGAGACGTCTTCATTTCTCTTGCTCACCATGTCCTATCTCCACTTCTATATTGGCTATAGGTCTCTGAACCCTTGTTCTGGAAATCTCTGTGAACCTACTTCCACATTTTCCAAATCCTTTCCATGTTCATATAAATATATGTGAGTATTTGAAGATCATCTTTTATAAATAAGCCTATTAATTTTTTCCAAAGTGGGCAACTCACTAAGTCTTAAATCTCAATGTTTTTTGTCTTAAATAATTCTTTATTACTAGTGTTCCATGGCATATTAGTATCTCTATAGTTATTTAAACTATGTTCTTATACATAGACACGCCTTTTGTTTTGGCTTTAGTTATTACAGACTGGATGCCGACAAAACCCACAAAGTCAAAGCACAGGGCTTTCTTCTGGGTTCTGCTCCATGCCGTCTGCTGGTACATCCCCTACCACTCCCTAGGGCAGAATTCTTGACCCGCAAGGCAAGGACTGACAGGTATGCTCAGGAAACTCCCTTTAGGTCACTTCTGTTTACCATATAAGCCTGTTTCTTCTGATCTAAATCCTGGAGACCTTCTGGTCTCACTGCTGCCCAGAAATACATCTCTACCAGTATGTCTGTGATAGAAATCCTAGGAAACTGCCTAGGTGCTGAACTGACAGCTGATGCTGTGGAGAAACAGAGCTGCATTGGGCTCGGTAGAGCTCAAGGAACAATGCTGTTGGGAACACTAAGAACCCTGGGGCTGGTTGAGCTGGGGTGACTGCTGCCACTGTCCTGGGAGCCTTGGCTCTAATGATGGGACCTCTGTGCTTTCCACAACAACTGTGATCGATCCCCCTCACCATGTATAGAATGTAGGATTTGCTACCATAGCTGAATTGGTCACTGAGGAAGCTTTGCTCAGACAGAAATATTTCAGATGAATACAGCCACCAAATCTACTTATATTTTAAAATAAAGTCTTACAAAACATTCTACATAAAAACTGTTCTGCTCAACACTGAGAACGAGGTATCTGGCGGAGCACTGGGCTGGGCGAGCGTTCTCAGGCCCCCATGCAACCTCATTAGGACACCCCCCTGCACCCCGGCGAGCTGCTGCATGGCGTCCTACCTCCCCTGCTTTCACGGAGCAGGCCTTGCCAATGACACACATATATATGAACCTGAAATTTATTTTTTCTTGAAGAGATGTAAGTATGTCTAGTATTTGTCAAAGTAAGGAGTCTCTTAGATAGAAAGCGGCTATATCTCCCTGAACGAGCACCTGGACAGATCCTTCCTAATTCACCCAGAATCGCTGCTGACCACAGCGTTCCATTCCCTTTCAGTTCTTCAGCCTGAGGTATGGCCAGAAGAGACAGAGGGTGTTCCCTGCAGCCCTGCAGAGTTCGCTCACGTGAAACATTCACTTTCTGGATGTTCTACTTCCACAGCTTCAAAGAATGGTGGAAGAGCTGGAAGCAAAAGCCAGAGAAGACTCCAGTGGATCTAGGCTCCTGCTATAGATTCTCTTCTGTGAGCACAGCAGTGGGGTCTGAGTATCTGCGTCACGGCGAGGCTCATGCTTTAGCTGCTGGAACTTGCACTGTGTCCAGCCATATATGCCACAGTTGAGCAGACCCTGGGATGCTGCCGTGAGAGCCTGGAGGAGATGAAGAGTGATGGGGTCCAACCTTCAGGCTTGTTGAGATCCAGGAATAGGTCCCTTGGCCCTTATTTATAAAGCGTGACTACACAACTAGTGTGTTTGTGTGTGTGTGTGTGAGTATGCGCGCGCGCATGCACATGCGACAAAGTCCCAACCCTATTTGCAGTGCCATCATTCGAGCTACTGAACTATAGACAAGCTCATCTAAACTCTTCACAATGGGGCTGGAGAGATGGCTCAGAGGTTAAGAGCACCAACTGTTCTTCCAGAGGTCCTGAGTTCAATTCCCAGCAACCACATGGTGGCTCACAACCATCTGTAAGGAGATCTGGTGCTCTCTTCTGTGTACATAATAAATAAATATATAAATAAAAATAAACTCTTCACATTGTATCTTGCTGTGGACAGCTGAAGGCTAGTTACATTGTCTGGTACATACACGAGGACAATAAAACGGCATCAACTGCTGACTTACTTCTCAGAGAACACTGTTCTCAATCAGCATAGTTAGTCTAAAGTTTCCTTCTGATAATGTAGGAGACAGGAGAAGCATTCCTTTACTGCTCACCATTCACTATGAACAGTTAATTTGTGCCATCTGATTCACTCTGGATAGGAGAGGATCATCACTACCAGTGCCTCACCAGAACATATCCCGGGAGATCTTATTCTACTGCCCGTATCTTCAACATATCAAAACCAAGTTCCCCAGAGACACATGTGCTCCAAACTATACCCAGAAACACTTAGACTAGCTTGCCTTTGAGGAAATGGTTATATTCCTAAGTCAGCATAAACACTAGATCTCTTTTGCAAGGTACAAATGAATAGAAAAAACTGTGTGTTCTCTAAATGGCAGTGTAAGAGAAGAAGGCACAAAGCACAAGACAAGAGATTCTGGCATTGGAAGGTATTACCTGGAGCACAGAGAGGGCCATGTGCAGGGAGGTGTCCTGTGGCTTGGTCAGCTTTATGATCAGCAGTGTGACAGCTGCAGATACACAATGTGTGAACTGTGTTAGCTCTCAGTGCACATGCCCGAGCATTCCATGAACAGAAGCTACAGGTGCCTGAAGATCAGCACTGAGATTAAACAGTTATATAAATCCCTGAGCCTTTGGCCTTCAGTTCTGGTCCTTACTGATTAAAACTTGCAGATGAATGCCAGGTGGAATGGCACATGTCTTTAATCTCGGCCTTTGAGGCAGAGGCTGTAGGTGGACCTCTGCAAGTTTGAGGCCAACGGGGTCTACATAATGAGATCTTGTCTCAGAAAATAAAGCAATAAGTAAATAAATAAAATGTACAAGCTGGGAAGGGATGAGCAGTCATGATTTGGGTGAGATCATTTTCTTTGATGACCCCCACAGCTACTTTCCTCGCCTCCCAACTGTTTACTACGATACCCACCTGGGCCCCAGCAGCACACAAAGGCCACTGGGAAGAAGCGTACTCGTTGACCCACAGTGTAAATCACTGCCCACTGATCACTCTTCAGAACGCCTGTCGACTTCACAAACTTCTTATACAATGTCTGGGCATGGATGAGTAGGACCTAAACATGAGTGTCATTGTGAGTAATCAGCCTATGGCTTAGTCAGATTTTCCAGCATTTTAGAGGGTATACTCTATAAGGAGCTCGTGTCAGGAAAAACCACTACCCTCCTTTACCGTGAGAGCAGACTTTGGAGAATTACCCATTGGGAATTTTCATGTCGACAAACAGTTACTGACCAAACTTTCAGTTATTATGTTCACAGTGTGAACGTCATCAACTCCCAGCTTTCCCCAACCTCAAACAAATCAGAACATATGGGAAGGTGTGCTGTCTTCTTGTAGAGATGGGAATCAAACCCACAGACTTGTACATGATAGGCAAGCATTGTACTAATGACCTATATTCCTACCCAGGAAGTTAAAGTGAGTTCTAACTAGTCCATCTCTTAAAATATCTTATTAGACATGCTTCTAGGCCATGTTTTATGCTTAATACCCTAAAGTTCATCAGTACAAAGGCTGAGATTAAATTCTCAACTCTGAGCAAAAAGGAGTTTTAGAAAATCTCTTCTCCAGCCTGGGCTACAGAGTGAGTTCCAGGAAATGCGCAAAGCTACACAGCGAAACCGTCTCTCGAAAAAACCAAAATAAATAAATATATAAAAAATATATATATAAAAACCCCCCAAAACAAAAACACAACTGACATTAAACTGGGCAATAAGGGTGACCAAAAAAAAAAAAAAAGAAAGAAAATCTCTTCTCAGCCAACCAATGGTGGCACATGCCTTTAATCTCAGAACTTGGAGGCAAAGGCAGGAAGATCTCTGTGAGTGAGGCCAGCCTGGTCTACATAGTGAGTTCCAGGACAGCCAGGGCTAAAGAAACCATCCCTGGGGGGTGGGGAGAGGAGAAAATGCTTTCATTATCAGGGAAATTAAAGCAAAGCACGGGTCCTGTGTCACAGAATGTCACTTATACAAAGGATACATCTGCATCATATGATCTTTCTACTCTGGGTCCTCGTGGGAATCAAAGAAACACATTAATTCTACAGTGAACGTGATTGTCCCCTAACTAACACAGGTTTGTTTTTCTGCTCATAATTTGATTTTGGGAAGTCCAAAGAACAAAGATAGTGATTACACTGTCAACATCTCCTATTCACATTCTTTACATTTGTGTGTGTGTGTGTGTGTGTGTGTGTGTGTGTGTGTGTGTGTGTGTGTGTGTGTGAGAGAAAAATGATCTCCTATACAGTCCAGGAACTTCTGACCTCCTGTCTCAACTTCCCATGTTCTCATGTACTCTAGGGAAGTGTCCCACCAACTAAACTACATCCTCACAGCCATGGCCACTCCCCTGGTGCTGGGAGCATGGGAAATGCCTGCTGCATTGTGCCAGTCTTGGAACACTGCCTATGTTTCCCAGTCCTTCCTTTCCACAGTAACAGACAGGTTGCACCATACCGTGATGAGGAGGAGGCTGAAGAAAAAGCTGGCCAGGAAAACAGTGACACCATAAAAATAGAGAGTGCTGCAGACAGACGTGTTGGTGGAAGGCAGGGGCTCAATCATGGCTGCCGGGGGTGAGCACATTAGGATGCACCTGGGGAAGAGAACCCGTGGACAGGACGATACGACAAGGACAAGACAGGCGGAACAAAACAAAAACTGAGTGTCTTAGTCAGGGTCGCTATTGCTGTCATGGAACACCATGGCCATAAGCAAGCTGGGAAGCAAAGGGCTTATTTGGCTTACTCTTCACATCTTAGTCCATCATTGAAGGAACTCAGGGCAGGAACCTGGAGGCAGGAGCTGCTGCAGAGGCCATGGCGGGGTGCTGCTCACTGGCTTGCTCCCCATGGCTTGCTCAGCCTGCTTTCTTATAGAACCCTGGACCACCAGCCCAGGGATTGCCCCACCCACTATGGACTGGTCCGCCGCAACATCAATCCCTAATGAAGAAAACGTTCTACAGGTTTGCCTACAGCCGATCTTATGGAGGCACTTTCTTAATTAAGGATCCCTCCAGTCTGAGGCCTTTAGCTTCTGTCAGGTTGACAGAAAACTATCTAGCACAGTGAGTAACTATGCTTATCATTTTTTGGGCTCTTGCCTGTAACTATAACATTCTGTTCCTTCACACAGATGAAATATCTTGAAATCACTTTATACTGTCTGTTTCCTTGTGTATCTTCAGCCTGACTACATCATGTTATGTCTAGAACCCATTTCCAAAACAAGCATTTTTTTTTTTTTTAGACAGGATCTGATATAGCCCAGGCTGGCCTCAAACTACTAAGTAGTTCAGGATGACCTTGAAACTCTGACCCGCATCTCCATCTCCTCTGTGCTGAGGTCACAGGTGTGCACCACACACACACACTCTATGTGGTGCTGGGGATCCAGACCAAGACTTTGTGTGAGCCCGGCAAACATTCTACTGCCTGAGCTACATCCTTAAGTAAACATACTGTTATGGCTAAAGAAGCTCCTTTTGATGCTAGGCATCCATTTTGGTACCCACCAGCTCTTTGTCATTGACTCCAGTCCCTGGAAGATAAGTTCCCAGTATAGGAAGGAACAAAATTGAAGCCATTTTGAATAAAAGTTCCATCTTGAAAAGCAGGGTGAAATAAAGTTTAGGTTCCCAAGACCTCCTGAGGCTTCCCTGAGTGACTGACACCCTGGTTGGCAAGGTGAGACACGAATGGGGTAAGCTGCCCAGCCACACATGAGTGGACCAACCAAGGAGGACAAGGTAAGTGAACCACAGAACAGTGTTCCTAGGAAAGTCCCTAATCTTTGGATCCTGGTTGGTGGAAATATAACTGGGCACCTATGTCTGTGGTTTTTCTGCTTAAATATTTGCTGAAATGAATGTTCGGGGACGCAGTCAGTCCCCGGGTCTGTACTGTTGGATCTTGCTTTGCATGAGCTCTTATGTGTTTGGGTTGTTTGGGGTCTTCTTGGACCCTACAACACCAGTACCCCTGACTCAGTAACAACCACCTAAAAATGTACAGCTCTAACTGCTTTTTTTCCTCTAACTTACTTATGCAGACACCTGAAGATTGTTTTGAGGTGCCTTAACCACTTAACTTGACAGAACAGATCAGTTTTTATTTGCTTACATGGACATTGAAGGTCTTCATGTGGTTTTCCCCTTTAATAATCCTTCCCCAAACCCCTCCTGCATGGCAATCTCAAATTTGGTTCAGAGATTGTTCATCGTGCTAGCAGTTAAACAATAACTATTTTATTTATAATTAGATTGAATCTATGGTCTTTTCCCAGGGGTCACAAACACCATAATAAAACATCTTGGCTAGAAGGTATGTAGAATTTTTTCCCCTTTTTACTCTGTTATAGAAAAGAACAAATAAAAACCAGAGTTAGTCCTTCCTTACCTGTGGCTCTGGCTAAAGTTGTGGAAACATTCATTGACATTGCCCAGAGAGAATACAGGTGTCATCAACAGCAGAGGTATCAGGCTGGAAGGAGAAAATTTATTGTGCAATTATCCAGAAAGTTTCGTGCCCTTCCCCCATTTGTAAAATAGTCTCCTTCCTCGAACTATATTACCCCACCAACTCCCCACACCTAACATAGATGAAGAAAAACATCTCAAATACCATAGCTATCCCTATTTTCTATTTCCTGGAGAACTGCAATGTGATGTGGATTTTATATCTAAGTCCATCTCCTAACAGTTTCTTGAGAATCTTTGGAATTATAGTCAGGTAAAAATCTGCTGGACAGTGGTGCACGCCTTTAATCCCAGCACTTGGGAGGCTGGATTCTCTGTGAGTTTGAGGACAGCCTGGTCTACAGAGCGAGATCCAGGACAGATGCCAAAACTACACAGAGAAACCTTGTCTCAAAAAAAAAAAAAAAACAAAAACCAAAAAAAAAAAAAAAAAAAAAAAAAAGGAAGAAAAGAAAAGAAAACTATGGAGCTGCCAGGCAGTGGTGGTGCACATCTTTAATCCCAGCACTCAGGAGGCAGAGGCAGGAGGATCTCTGTGAGTTCGAGGCAAGTCTGATCTACAGATTGAATTCCAGGACAGTCAGAGCTACAAAGAGAAACCCTGTCTAGAAAAAAAGCCAAACAAAAACAAAAACAAAATGCAAAAACCCAACCAACCAAACAAACAAAAAAAGGAAACTATGGCCGGGCGGTGGTGGCACACACCTTTAATCCCAGCACTCGGGAGGCAGAGCTAGGTGGATCTCTGTGAGTTCGAGGCCAGCCTGGGCTACCAAGTGAGTTCCAGGAAAAGGCGCAAAAGCTACACAGAGAAACCCTGTCTCGAAAAACCAAAAAAAAAAAAAAAAAGGAAACTATGGAGCAGCTCTGCATGGTCTCCTTCACACTCAGTGACCAGATGAATTCTTGTGTTTACCTTTCCCGTGTGCTTACTCTTTAAACAGACAACTGTTTATCCACTTAAATACAGCCATTGCCCTACAAGGGATTTGGGAGCAAAAATTATAAAGTCTAAAACCAATGTGACTACTTCTAGGTTCTTCTTGGACTAGGATTCTCAGACAATGTTATAAGGTGGCCTGAGCTTGAGAGCTGGGCTCCTAAGGTCAAGTGTCTGCCACATAAGCTTGAGGACTGGAGTCAGGCACAGTGGGATGCCCAGAAGCCACATAAAAAGCTGAGAGCTCTTGAGGCCAGCCTGCTGTCCAGCACACTGGAGACAGATGTGACTCTCCAGGGCATGCAGCTGGTCTGACTAGCAGGTATGCTGAGCTCTGGGTTCAGTGTGAGACTGCCTCCATGTATAATAGAGAGCGCGGTAAGGGAAAGAGGCTGACATCAACCTCTAGTCTTCACATGCGTGCACAGATGCATGCACCCGACACAGTCACAAAGAACTGGTGCTACAGAGTCCGAGTAAAACCCAGCTCACACCTCATCGAAGAGCACACTTGTTGCTTCCTGTCATCTCCTGCTGTGAGCCCCAGGAGTGACGGGAAATGAAGACAAGAGGCCATTGTTCCTCGGCCACCTTACCAGGAAGACAAAAATCTTACCTTGACAAAATGAACACCACGTGACCACCTTGGTGAGTATGATCGATCACCTGTGAAAAGAATAGACATATGTGAAAAATGTTAGGACCAGTGCCAAACTCTCCAGTAAACACACACACACGTCCAGCAGCCCCATTGCTTTGTCAGCCATATTGTTTGTAGAATCCATCAAACAGTCAGTTCCCTTGGTACTGGAGATGACAGTGTTTTATCTATATCACTATGCTAAAAAGAAACAATAATTTAAAAAAAAACAGAAGACTACAGGAAGTAATTTAACCCAAGGTCTGAGCGCTGAAACAAACCCTTTGAGGAACAAAGGCGTATATGAAATCATAGAGTGTTTTATTCCTTTAGACCCAGAAAGGTAAGGGTGAATGAAGCTATGCACAAGTTGGCCAGCACAAAGTATTAATAGGCTCATGCTGACATGACAGAGTCCAAGAAGCCTTTGAATACAAGACCACTGCATTCCAGAGGAGGGAGCATTTAGAATCTGGAGACCTAGAAGATGGTTCAATTGATGAAGTAGTCACTGAGCAAGCACAGGAACCTAAGTTCAGATCCCTAGCATCCACACCAGAAACCAGGCAGAGCACCTCTTGTCAGTAACCCTAGCATTGTGGAGGAGGAAAGGAAAGACATACAGATCCTGGAGGCATCACAGGCCAATCAGACTAGCACAAATAGCAAAATCCAGCTTCAGTGAGAAATAATGTCTCAAAAACAAAAAACAAAAAGGTGGACTGTCCTGGGCAGTGGTGGTGCACGCCTTTAATCCCAGCACTCTGGAGGCAGAGGTAAGTGGATCTCTGTGAGTTCGAGGCCAGCCTGAGCTACAGAGCGAGATCCAGGACAACCAGGACTGTTACATAGAGAAAAACCAAGAAAAAAAAAAAAGTGGAGAGCAGAAGAGGAAAGCAGTTGGTGTTGACGACTGATCTCTACTTGCTGACGCAGAGGCACACACACTGCACAGACACCACACACACAGTATGCTGCATTACATAGGGTGATGGAATATGTACTTATCATAGAAAAGTTTTGGGTTCAAATCCACAGCACTCCCAGACAGACAGACAGACAGACGAACACTCCCCATGTGTATCTGAGACTGAACATTTATAGCAGCATGACGGCTATGAACTTGGTATTCTGAAGGAAAGTTCATGGCCTATGGGTTTGCCTTTCACACTGGCCAGCAGAGCCCCCGCTCAGCCCCAGGCTTTGAGTGAAGTCCTGAACAAAGCCCTGGGGCTGCTGTGCTATGAGGCACTCATCTGCCCAAAGAGAAGAAAACCAACTCCCAGCTCTTCACAGTATCTTCCATTTATACAGACAAGTGTGTAAAGGGGTGAGCAGCCACAGGCCCTTCCTAACTGGAGACACCACACAAGGTTAAGGGGCAGAAGACACCTATGCCTGTGGAATGCCCAGAGTGGGCAAGATAAAACGGCAGCAGAGTGGAATTCTGGTTGTACACAGCAGCTACTACCCGCACATAGCTACTTACACGAAATAAAATGAAGATGCCTGCCAGGCATGATGGCATATGCCTCTAAGCCCAGAATTTGAAAGGCAGAGGCAGTAGGGCTGCTGCAAGTCAGAAGCCAGCCTAACTACAGAGCAAGTTCTAATCCTGCCCCAGCCAGGGCTACAGAGTGAGGGACTCTGCTTCAAAGCCTGAGTGTCCCACTTCAGTCCCTGCACTTTGCACCCACATTACAAGTGGTCAGTGGCCACTTGTGCCTAGTAGCTACTAATATAAAACACATGTACCACCAGTTGTGTAGAGGCAAGCAGATGCCTGTGCGTTAGTTCAAGGCCCGCCTGGCCTATATAGTAAAATCCTGCCTCAAAAGAAATTGTTTTTGGCCAGGTGGTGGTGGTGGTGGTGGTGGTGGTGGCGGCGGCGGCGGCGGCGGCGGCGGCACGCCTTTAATCCCAGCACTCAGGAGGCAGAGCCAGGTGGATCTCTGTGAGTTTGAGACCAGCCTGGTCTACAGAGCGAGTTCCAAGAAAGGCACCAAAACTACACAGAGAAACCCTGTCTCAAAAAACAAAAAAAAAAATTGTTTTTGTTATTCCAAGAAGTTTTATTGAATAGCTTTTTACAGGCTGTAGTATCATCTTTAGGATGCTACTTATGGGCACTTTTCATGTTAAAGTTTCATTGATTTTTCCCCCCTACTCTCTGAGAAGTGGGGATCAGAGAAAAGAAGAAAGAACATTCTCTGTTCCTACCCTTCCTTAACAGCGAACATCTTGAACAAAGCTTAAAAAAAAAGAAAGATGACATTTTCACAGATCACAGAGCCCTGGTGCTGTGAGCTGGAAGAGGCACCATGGCTCATATAGATAAATACTTAACTTTAAGATGAAAACTTGAGGTCTGATTGTCTTGGCTACATAGTGAGTTGTGGGCCAGCATGGGCTACATAGCAAGAGCCTTTAAACAAACAAAATATGAGAGATGATGTACCCAAGGCTATAAAGCAGACAAGTGACCCAGAACAATGCATTTATATCATTTACTGAAAGCAAAAAATACAGAAATTGGAAGCATCCTTCTAAGAGTAATATCCACTATAAATGTTGAACTCAACATTTGGATATTAGTTGATAAAGAACAATGTTTGTGGGGCTAGGGAGATGGCTAAGAGCACTGGCTGCTCTTCCAAAGGACCTGGGTTCAATTCCCAGCACCTACATGGCAGCTCACAGCTGTCTGTAACTCCTGTTCCAGTGGATCCAACATGCTCACTCAGACATACATGTAGGCAAAACCATAAATGCACATGAAAAAAAATTTTTTTAAATGTTATCTGGCTCAGTTGGAGATAGTGACTTCATCTCTTGTAAAATTCTGTTAAAGATTCTGTAAAGTACCTCTCTTTCCCTCCTTATGTGATATTTTCTGTGCTAGTCAATAAAGACAAAGCAAAGCCCTAGATGAGGGACAGACAGACACCGGGACAGAGTCACAAGACAGCCTTCAGGCAGGCACAAATTTAGACTCATACAACAGGCAGAGGACAAAAGACACAGAGATCATGAGGTAGAGAATTCGAATCTGACTCGCTCTTGTTTAGATGACTCCAGAGGGAAATGCTTTTACTTCTATCCTCAATGCGACACTGACGCTTTATTGAGGACTCTGAGCTAATCGCTAATGCCTTTAATCCACACACTCCTCCACTTACACAACAGATACTGGGCTATTTCACGTGTCCACTCTCCTTTGTTTAAGAAGTAATCTACAGGTTCTATGAAAAGAGTAGAGTAACTTTCTAGAGCGTTTATCACACTCTTAACAAAAGTTTACTTTAAAAGAAATCAAATAATGACTATTGCAGAAGTAAGATTAGAATATTTAATAATGTGTATAAGATTAAAATGGGCCTGTGTTTTGTAGCACAGTTGGTTGAGTGTTTCCTAATGTTCTAGAGATCCTGGGTCCAATCTTAGCACCACATAAACTGGGTTTGGTGGTCCACACCTAGAATCCCAGCACTTGGGAAATAGAGGTAAGAAGATAAGAAGTCAAGATCATCCTTGACTATGTAGTGAATCTGGGGACAGCCTGGGCTACATGGGACCCTCTCCCAAAAACAAATAAGTAACAATAACAACAAAAAGATTAAATCAGATGTGGTGGTGCATGCTTTTAATCCCAGCACTCGGGAGGCAGAGGCAAGCAGATCTCTGTGAGTTTTAGTTTGAGGCCAGTCTGGTCTACATGTGAGTTCCAGGACGGCCAAGGCTACACAGAGAAACTCTGTCTCAATAAACAAACAAACAAACAAACAAACACACATACATACATACATGATAAACAAATTAAATTAAAAAAAGAAATATATAAGTTGGGTGGTGGTGGCGCATGCCTTTAATCCCAGCACCCAGGAAGCAGAAGCAGGTGGATCTTTGAGTTTGAGGCCAGGGTCTACAATGAGTTCCAGGACAGCCAGGGCTACACAGAGAAACCTTGTCTCAGAAAAAAAAAATGTAAAGACTTTAGAAATAAAAACTGAGAAATCACAAATACATCACCCATCAGAATCAGTGATGTTCTCAAAGCATCAGAAGTAAGAAACTCACTAGTCTCAGGGCACACATACATAATCCCAGCACCTGGGAGGTGCAGGCAGAAAGAAGGGTTAGAAGTTGCAAACTAGCTGTAGCCAGTTCAAAGCCAGCCTAAGTCATGCGCTGCTGTCTCTAGAGTGAAACAGTAAGAAACCGAAGTTACTACACAGGGAACTGCGGCCTGCTCAGTAGTAGGAAGGGTGATTTACACACGTGGAAGTGTGTGCTTCTCTTTGCTCCCCTCGTCCTCTGCTCTCCCTCTCCTTTGCCCCCTCATGGCCTGGTCCACTCTACCTCACGGCCAAGTTCAGTCTACTACTTTCCTTGCTCTGAACTCTTCCAGATGCCTCTGGCTGTACTCTCCCTCATATTTATAATAAAAACCTTCCCCTCAACCATAATAAAAATAAATACAAAAATAAAATATAAAAAATAAAACACGGTGATAAATGAAAGCAAACATACCTATCATGCACACCCATACAATGTTATTGTTACATGAAGTATCCAGAACAGCCGGTCTATAGGAAGGCACGTACATTTGAGAGCAGAGAGTGTAAAGGACTTAATGGTAAATACAGAGAGTCCACTGGGGAGAGAAACATCCTGACATGGATATGATGACAGCACAACTTGACAAATTTACTAAGATGTGGATCCACATACTCAGAACAGATGGACTGTGTGCTGTGTGGAACACATGCACACACACACTAAAGAACCCAGACACACGGTGGGCTTGGCCTTCTCTCTTTTACTGTAATGCTGGACAACAAAGTGCTCTCTGGATGCTTCTTGCCTTCTGACTGTCACGTAAGCATCCTTCTGCCTTTCCGCAAAACAATAGCGGTCACTCACACCTACTGAAAACATAGCAGAGCAGAACATTCTCCCTTGACACTGGTCACCCTGAAACCCATGTCAGCAGACAGCACTTTCCCTAACTCTTCTTCATGACCTGTACTTTACTAACAATGATGGGTGACATGGAGCCAAAGCTTTCCCTTACTGAATCAAGCTGAGCAGGAATGGCAGCAGCATCAACAATGTTCCTACATTAAAATCTTTTGTCGGTTGGGGATTTAGCTCAGTTGTAGAGCAGTTGCCTAGCAAGCGGCAAGGCCCTGGGTTCGATCCTCAGCTTCAAAAAAAAAAAAACTTTTGTGTGGCAGGGGCAGTGGTGGCACATGCCTTTAATTCCAGCACCCAGGAGGCAGAGGCAGGTGGATCTCTGTGAGTTCAAGGCCAGCCTGGTCTACAGAGCAAGTTCCAGGACAGCCAGGGCTACACAGAGAAACCCTGTCTCGAAAAACAAAACACCAACCAACCAACCAACCAACTCTTATGTGTATCAAGGGAGGAGAGGAAGTAATGTCAACAAATGGAAACTCTGGGGACATTCTTTCATCAGCTTCCGCACACTCACTCGTCAGTGTTGAGAGCTTGCACTGCTTACTGAGAACTGGGGGAGCCCCTTCTCTGCTTACCTGTGCAGCTGTGCCCTGTCCACTCTGGCTGTGTTTCATCCTCAGCTCCGTGTGCAGATACCAGATGTAACTGATGGTGTAGAGGAGTGAGGCAAGGTACAGTATCTAGGTGAGAGACAAAACAACTCATCATAAGTGTTCCATTCCCACTTCCTTAAATTCATTCCATTGTTCTCAGATGAGACCTAGCTTACCCAAGCCATTCAGCTTCATCTTGCCCTTTGGACTGTTCAGAGTCACAGATACCCACCTCCTCTTATCTAACTATTCCACTTTTCTGAGTATCTGTCAATCTATCATCATCATCATCATCATCATCATCGTGTGTGTAGCACCGCACACGTGTCAGAGGACAACTGTGGAGTGGGTTCTCTCCCTCCACCTCACCTGGGTTCTAGGGATGGAACTCAGTCACCAGGTTTATGTGGAAAGAGCTTTCACCTTCTGAACCATCTCATGGGCTCTGTGTTCAACTTTCAATAATGGTTGATATATTATTTCATTTTCATACTATAACAAAATATTGGAGGCAGGCTACTTTTGAGGAAAAGGGTTTGGGCTCATAGTTCTGGAAGTACAAGGTTTAGGGGTCTCATCTTGTGATACTGTCTTGATGTTAGAATCCTGAGATGGTGTCAATTATCTCAGCAGAAGATGAAGAACATGTATGTTAACTGTCTCTCTTTATAAAGCCACCAGGAATAACTCATGTGCTTTTAATAACCTTACAGTTCTCATCATCCCCTGAAGACTCCACCCCCCATTAAACAGCAGAGTAATTCTCCAACCTTCCAATGCTATACATATGAATCATGTAAAAGTTAGTGTCTATGTGTGTGTACACACTTATCTGCAAGATTTGGGTAATTAGAATACTACACAAATTTGATGTGGACAAAAAACCATAGAAACAGCCTATGGTATTTGAACTAAACCTTTCATTCAAAACTTAGACTACACAGGCAAGATAACTTTAAAAACAAAAAAGGGACCTCAGGTATCCCATGCTGGACTTGGATTTGCTATGTAACCAAGAATGGTCCTTTAGTTTGCTTGAGGCAGGGTATCTCTATGTAGTCCTAGTTGTCCTAAAGCTCACTACGTACATCAGGTAGGCTCCTTGATTTCACACAGATCCTCCTGCCTCTGCCTCTGCCTCTCAAGTGCTAGGATTAAAGATGTGGGCCACCACAGTTTCAAAAATGGTCTTAAACTCTTGATCTCCTGCCTCTACCTCTCAAGTTTATGTACCACTCCAAGTTTATGGAGTGTTGTGCTTGAAACCAGGGCTTCTTACATGCAAAAGCAAGTGCTCTATTAACTGATACATCCCCAGCCCCCTGATGTTTAAAAGGTCTTTCAGAAAATCAGGTGCTAGAGAGATGGCTCAGCAGGGAAAGGCATTTACTGTCAACCCTGGCATTGGAGCTGAATTTGATCTGCAGAACTCATAAAGCGGGGAGAATGGATTTGTGAAAGTTGTCCTCTGACCTCCACACACACACCATGGCATAAAAGACCATACAAGTAAAATAAGCAAACAAATGTAATAACAATTTAGGAAAAAATAAAAAAGAAACGGACTTATGGGAACTGGAGAGATGGCTTCGTAGTTAAAAGCACTTGCTGCTTTTGCAGAGGACCTTGGTTCAGTTCTCAGCACCCACAGCAGGCTACTCACAAGTGCCTGTAACTCCAGCTCTAGGGGATCTGATACCCGCTTCTGGACTGCACTAGCACCCTTATGCATGTGTACAAACACATATATACATAAATAAAAATAAAATGAACCATCTTCTTAAAAAAGAACCAAAGAGCTAACTCATATGATAAAAAAGAAACCACATGACACCATGTAAGGGATGAATTCCTGCTCCTGCACAGCTAAGGTGACAAGATTTACTCTTCAACCTCATGTAAGCAAAAGCTGGAGCTGGGGAGACAGCTCACTGGATGACACACTTACCACACCAATAAGGGAAGTTCAAATCCCCAATACCCACAGACAAAGCCAGGCATAGGCCACCAAGATGGTTCAGCAGGTAGAGGATGCACGCGCGCGTGTACACACACACACACACACACACACACACACACACACACACATAGGCTATACATGTATAAAAATTTTAAAAAGGCTGGCTGGGTGGTGGTGGTGCACACCTTTAATCTCAGCACTCGGGAGGGAGAGCCAGGCGGATCTCTGTGAGTTCGAGGCTAGCCTGGTCTACAGAGTGAGAGCCAGAAAAGGCACCAAAACTATACAGAGAAACCCTGTCTCGAAAAACCTAAAATAAAATAAAATTAAAAATAAAAAATTTAAAAAGAAGCCAGACACCACTACATGTGCTTGTGCAGAGACAGGTGAGTCCCAGGACCTGCTAGTCAAAGTGATGAGCTTGAGAGAAAATAAGAAACCCTGTCTCAAGGAATATGGCATAAAGCTATAAAGGAAAACAACCATCATCTTCCTTTGGTCTCTACATACATGTACATGAATTGCCATATGTGCACATGCATATGTCCATGTGCACAGACACACACAGAGACAGACAGATATAATTAACCTAAGTGATTTCTGGAAACAGTATTTTGTCCATATATTAAAAAGGCAAGCCGGGCGGTGGTGGTGGTGGTGGTGGTGGTGGTGGTGGTGGTGGTGGTGGTGGTGGTGGTGGTGGTGGTGGTGCACGCCTTTAATCCCAGCACTCAGGAGGCAGAACCGGGTGGATCTCTGTGAGTTCGAGGCCAGCCTGGGCTACAGAGTGAGTTCCAGAACAGGCTCTAAAACTACACAGAGAAACCCTGTCTCGAAAAACCAAAAAAAAAAAAAAAAAAAAAAAGGCAAAAAGAACTGTAACAACACAAAGAGGCAATTACTACATGATAGTGCTTACAGAGCCAGACCTGAGTGTGGACTAGAGTGGTGGTTGCTAGGGGCGACGGGGAAGGGAGTGTCTGTCCACTAGTGCACTCTGGAGAGTGATAGGATAAGCTGCACAGGGTTTGGAGAGGATCATAATGTCTAAGATTAATTATGGTGGTGTGTATCTGGGGTCTACCCCTTATGAAAAGGTTAGTGAGGACAACCAAGAGAAGGGATAAACAGAGGTCTATTGCATTAGGATGGTGCTATCTGGGAGTCAAACCACAGAAATAAAGGTAAAAATGTATCCCCAAAAGAAAACTGATAAGCTTAGTATAATTATAAACATGTTGTATCTTTCTTCCTATTCCTCGTTTCTTTAAGAACACATTATAAGCCAGGTTATGGTGGCCCACACCTTTAATCCCAGCACTCAGGAGGCAGAGGCAGGCAGATCCCTGAGTTCGAGGCCTGCCTGGTCTACAGAGCGAGTTCCAGGACAGCCAGGGCTATACAGAGAAACCCTGTCTCAAAAACTAAAAACCAACCAACCAACCAAACATAAACTCCAAAATACACATTTTAAAAAAGGATCATCCTAGCACTGTACTGTTGGTTTGTAACGAGTACATGTGTCTAGTAATATGTGTAGGAACAGTGCAAAACGGAGAAATGAAGCTACGAAGACGCTCTTTATTGTACAATGTTCTAATAGTAGACCCACTGCAAACTGAAACTATTTCTGAGCATTGTAGTGTGACAATACAGTACACTGGAGTCTGGCTGTTTGCCCTTGAGACTATGTGTATCGCTGACTGGGAGGGAGCTGTAGCTGACATGTCCTAGGACCCTGAGAGTTTAGAATTGCCAGCCTAGGAAACAACTAAAATTCAAAATCTGAAGTACAATTTCTACCTAAGGCATACTGCTTTCACGTCTTTTTTTTTTTTTTTCTTTTGTTGTTTGCAAGAGTCTCACTATGTAAGTTTGACTGGCCTGGAACTCACAAAGATCTGCCAGTCCCTGCCTCCTGAGTGCTGGGATTAAAGGTGTGCGTTACCATGATCACTTCTTTTTAAGAAAAAATAAATAAATAAATAACGTCTACAGTAAAATGTGAAATGTGACCTGGTCATTTGTTTTCCCTTTTGCTGACCTATGGGTAATTTCACTTAAGGCCAGTAGAGGGAGCCAGGATATCATGAAACAGATTCCTCAATGAACTCAGGCACAATAAACGTTCCTTTATTTTCTCATATGTAAAGAGGAGAGGAAACTGATTGGGCTGGGAAAAATTTGATTAATTTTAAAAAAATTAAAAACTTGGGCCGGGCAGTGGTGGCGCACACCTTTGAGCCCAGCACTCGGGAGGCAGAGGCAGGTGGATCTCTATGAGTTCGAGGCCAGGAAAGGCACAAAGCTACACAGAGAAACCCTGTCTGGAAAAACAAAAAAACAAAAACAAAAAAAAAAAAAAAAAAAAAAAAAATCTTTGGTGGGGCTGGAGAGATGGCTCAGGGGTTAAGAGCGCTGGTTGTTCTTCCAGAGTACCTGAGTTCAATTCCCAGCACCCACATGGCAGCTCACAACTGTCTGTGACTCCTGTTCCAAAGGACCTGACACCGTCACACAGACATACATGTGGACAAAACACCGATGTACACAAAATACAAATAAGTAAATTGATTAAAAAAAAAAAAAACTTGGCTGGGTGGTGGTGGTGCACATCTTTAATCCAGCACTTGGGAGGCAGAGGCAAGTGGATCTCTTGAGTTCAAGGCTAGCCTGGTCTACATAGGGAGTGATAAGTTTTTCCGCCGATAAGCCTCTCCACTGACGCAGCAATCCAAATTAAACCAAATCAGACTGAATTAGAAAAGCCCTGGTTTAATGGGTAAAGCGTTCCCGGGTGATTCTCTGGCGCCCCCCAGAGAAGAGACAGGAAGAGAGACTGGAAACCCACGTGTCTTTTTCGGGGATGCCACTTATATACCCTGTGGGAGCAGTCCTGAACCTCTCAGGGGTTGGAGCTGTGTTTGGTGGATTTGAAGGGGCAGGTTTAAGGAAAGAGACAGGGGAGGGGAGTTGAGCTGGATCTTCTACTAGACTCCTTCCAAACATGCTAGACTCTTTGGGTACAGTGATATCAGGGTGCCAGGGATTGCGGTGGAGCTCCCACCCAAACAGTGAGTTCCAGGCAAGGAGAAACCCTGTTTCTAAAAAACCAAAAAAAAAAAAA